TTACAAATCTCACAAAAAAACTGCTGCCTTAATTCAAATGATTTGGTCTGCAACTCAGTGCACAGTGCATCTTATATTGCTTTTGGCTGAATTTTGACTTTTTTTTCAGACTGTTGGGCAAAATAAGAATAATAAAGCATGCCAGTCAGACTTGATTCCTTTGAGGTTTTCTGTTTGGCAGCCAGACAAATGTGCACTTTTTGAGCCCCAGGCATATGTGGTCTGTTAGGCCTATCCTGGTGCTTGATAAGATAGAATAAGTATCATTGTGTATTGTTGTGTATCATTGTGACCCACTGGCTGAAAGCAGTCTCCAACATCTCTTTGATTACAGTAAAGTGACACAATAGGAATCCAAGAAATTTCTTCCAATTTGGATTCTAGCTGTGTAAAATATAAATTCTACCCAGGGAAGAGATAGAGGACCAGAAGACTAATATCTAAACAGGCAATTTCTTTATACTGGTACAATGTTTTAATAGCACTCATGAGCCACTTGCCATGTTTTATCATTTCTTCAAGATAATCCTACATGACTGACTTCTGCCATCATTTCCTAGCAATATAGGTAGTCCTCATTTAGTAAACACAATTGAAATCGGCAACTCTGTCCCTGAGCAAAGTAGTCACTAAACGGGAAATCATGTGAACCTGACTATGCTTCTCTTTTCTCCACTCCCTGCCATTTCAAATACTCATCTCGGAGCTGGGATAATGAATAATAAGGGAAATAATGCTTGTGTTTACATTTATTGGAGAGGAAAGGATTATAAGAGAGTAAGTAGGCACACATAAGGAATACACATAAAAGGCAATGCACTGATACCAGAAGCCAAGAATGCACTACGCAAACAGCCCGATGTATTTTCTATTGTGTACCTGCTTACTCTCTTACTATCCCTCCCTCTCCAATCTCTCTCCTTTGCAAGGGCAGGTGGGAGAGAAAATGACAGGCCAGGTATAGGACAATGTGTCCTGACTGTAATGGTAATCACATAACTGAAGGATGCTGTGATGGTAAATGCGGACATTGGTCAGAAATTTGTTTATAGCACCATTGCAACTTCAAATTGTCACTAAATGAGGCAGTCAGTTATTGTTCTCAGCATCCTTTACATTTCAAAACTGGGAGAAGGTGCAAAGAGTGGCAAAGGAGATAGTCGGGGATGGGAAACTGAGTTTTACCATGAGATACTAGGTTTGTTTAGTCTTCAGAAAATAAGTATCTTATGATGCAGAGAAATAGATGCTGGTTAAATGATGGAAAGGACATCATAATGATATAGGCAATTCAACCAATTTGGAGAAAAGACAGTAAAATTCCCTACCCTGAACGGAAGTGAAGGCCAGAGAGTTATCTGGCAAAGATATTTACTCTTGATTTCTTCATTAATCAGAAAGTTGGACTCAGTTTCTTAAATGGCTCCTCTCTGATTCTATAACTGTTACCACATAAAGCTCAGTTTTTCAATCTTGCATCTCTGCTGCCATCTTGTGACACAATCAGCACCTGGTTATTCAACAATTTTCTTTGTTAAATGGCTCCTCCTTTTTCTGTAACCGGCTTCTGCCCTGGGTTAACAGTGATGTTGCCTCATTTGGGTAATGAAATGTTTGCAAGAAAACAACTAAGCTCAGAAAGAAGGACCACTTGTTTTAACCCTGAGCTACAAATATTCTCCTTTATTGATTAAAAAGTGTGTTACAGAAAACTGAGCATCTCCCTTCAAAGTATCAAACCTGCCACATCCTTTGAAAGCTTGTCTTGCTATGCTGAACCTTGTCCAGTAGTTTCCACAGGCCGTGTTCACACACAACTGCTTTGCTTCCCTGGTGGTTCCAGCAGAAGTGCAGAAGTTCAGGGAGTGTGCAGAAGACTCTGCAGAACCCACAACTGCTTTAAGGTTTCGAAAGAAAGTGCAAAGAATCAGGGCTGTTCGTTAGTCTGCAGCATAGAAGATTTATGCAATACATAAGAATCTACTCAACTAAAGTTCAGTGCTAAATTGGCACCAGATGAGAGTCAATTGAATTCAGGAGGGGTTGGACTTGAGACTACTTATGGGAATGTAATGACTCTAGGCTAATGACTCATTTAACTCCACCCTCCAGTTCTGCATGGTTTGCTCTTCCTTGCAGTAATATGCTTTGCAAAGCACATATTTCTAAAGCTTTGCACAACCTTAGTACCAGACAGTGCTTGGGAGTTGATTTATATAGTTTTGCTTTGAAATGAGTTTCGATTAAGGCTCCTTCCTTCCTTCCTTTCCAATTTATTGGCTGTCCATCTTATCATAGGATAAGTCTGGATGGCTTACAATATTAAAAAGATACAACTATACAAATAAAATACTACAAAAATGCACTACACAATCTGAGCTGAAATACGGGGAGGGAGGGAATAGGATAATCAGGGGGGGGGAGGTGGGATATGTTATTAATCTATCAACCACCCCCAATGTGAAGACCCCCTTTGGAACCCCAAGCCAACTGGCACAGCCTAAGTAACTAAACACAGGATGATGGTCTTAGCAATCCTCCATCTATTCCCTTTTCTTCTGTCTCAATTTTACTGTTTTTTTTTTTCCATTGTTTCACACTCATACTTCTTCAATGGTTTTTCTAGTTGTGCCCAAGCATAAAACTTTTTCCTGTTCACCTTGGGACTTTGTAAAGTTTCCTTTGCAATTTTTGCTATGGTTTCCACTGTTTTGTTCGGTGAAAACGCAGCCTTATTTCTGTCCATTTATCAAGTGACTAATTTCACAGGCATAAAGGGAATATCTTTTCCCAAAGAACTGATGTATGTTTTGTGTGTTCTCTCCATCATCCCCAAATTGTTTTCCTCTACAGAGTGACCAAGTAAATCTACAAAGAAGCACAATATTCTGGAAGCGTACGATAATTCCCACTCCTCAATGTGGCCCATCTATGTCCCAACAGAAAGAAAGGTAAAAACAAAAAAATTTCTCAGGTTGAACTCCATTCCTGGACATTTCCTAGGGATAAGTATCAGATTTTACCTGACAAGAAAAGAAAGGATTAAAGAGAAAGCTTTAAAATTGGGGCCAATTGTGTCATTGGGCTTTGCACTGTCATATCTTCACCCCCAATTCTAAGTTCTGTATTCTATCAATGTAACGTTTCTTGGTTTCGCAAGATGTCACTCCCTCTGAGGAAGTCTTATGTCTTACAAGATCTGTCCTTTTTCTTGACTGTCATGTACTATAACGGTATGTGAGAATGACCTTGGCGGACAGATGTTAAAACATGTCTAAAATTGGCTTTATACCAAACACCACTCCAAAATATGTTACAAGGAAGGATGATGTGGGTAGCTTTTTTTTATTTTTAATAAATCTCCAAGTATGGAGTGCTTCTAAATTATATATTCGTCTATCTTCAGAGGTTAGTATGTGCAGGGAAGAGACCAGGAGATTATACAGCTTTTGACAAGGAGGTCAAAGAACCTTTTGAGTGACAGCAGTGCCAAAGCACTTTTGGATTACAGCCAATGAAATTTGACACTGTGTCCCCAGTCACCAAGAGTTGAGCTCAAGTTGACAAGAGTCTTGTATCTTTTTACAACCAAAGCTCTAAGGAAGCACCTATTGGAGATAAGTCCCTTATTAATGAAAGAAAACCTGACATATATAAAATAATGACATATATAAAATATATATACATATATTTTATATATATATATATATATATATATATATATATATATATATATATATACATATATATTAAATATATGTATATATATTTTATATATGTCATTATTTTATATATATATATATACATATATAATATATATATATATTATATATTATATTATATATATATATATATAATATGTGTATATATATATATATATATATATATATATATATATATATATATACACACATACATACATACATATATAAAATAATGACATATATAAAACCTGGCATATAGCTCTTGGAAAATGTGTTCTAAAAGTTGATTCAGCTTTAAAGCAGTAGATGTCACTCTAGATCTTTGCATGCTAAGAAGAACACTCATTCATATTCTCTCTTCTCTCTCTATTTTTTCAAGATCTCGGAATGAACCACATGGAACAGAGAGACAAGGTGATGGTTCGCTAGGGCTTTCATGTATTGATAAAGGAGATTATTTGTAGCTCAGGGTTGAACTGTGGGGTCCTGGATGCTCTCTGAGCTTGCTTGTTTTCTTGCAGATGTTGCATTACCCAAGGTTGTTTTCTAGTTTGGAAACATCTGCAAAACAACCCCCAAGCCCAAAGTCTTCATGTAGGCATGCTATGCCTGGGCCACAGTTTTGTTTGATGAATTGAATCCTCTTCATATTAAATTGGTCATTACCAATTGAATTGGTATCTCAGTGAGGAACTGCTAAATATATCAGGTATTAAAGCATACAGATAGAGCACCCAGTGTTTAGACTGAGCTTGGAAATACGCGAGTGGAGTGATCTACATTCTACACCACTGTTGACCCAACTTGGAGAATTGAGTTGATTCCAAATTGCAATTCCTTTATCCTCTGAGTGGGTTTGCAAGGAAAATTTTGAAAAGTGCAGCAAACAAGAGATAGCCATGATATTGTCAAAATGCAGCACCACAAGTTACGCACTTAGCAATTATCCAAAAGTTCAAACATTAGTTTGTCTCACAGTAAAACTGGAACGGAGTGCAGAAGCTATTTCAGACTCTAAGTATGGAATGTAATGTATGTTAAATGAGTTAAATGCTCATTCCAAATGTAAAACAAGTCTAATTTTAAAATTTGGTAGCAATTTCCTTTGATGCCCTAATCAAGGAGAAACGGAAGTCATCAGAGTTTTGAGATAACTGCTAGCAACTACAATTCCACCATAATTCAGCACTCAGCATGAAAAATGCGAAGTCCTTTTGGCCCACGCCATACAATCCAACGTTGTTGTATTATTATTTTCCACTTCAATTGCAGAAAAAGACATTAGAAGCCAAGGAATGTAAAATAAGTCTGAAAGTGTATTTTGCAAGAATGGTTCCAGGAAGAAACTCAGTTGAGTGGCTGGGTGATTAACTGCACATCCAGCCTCCTGTGTCAGTGTTTACAAAGAAGCAGATGCATTATTCAGTAAATAGCAAGAAACTCATAATCCTGACTTTTCCTGCAAAAGAAAAGGGTTCAACTAAAATAGAAGTCAGCCTTTCAAGGTTATGTCCAGACAGGAAACCCAAATCACGACTACTCACACCACCTTTATTATAAGGTTACAGTAACAGAATCTTGAACATCTGAAGGGGCTTCTCCCTCTCCTCTGCTTTTAGGTTCCCAAGATCAAGAGAGAGTCCTTTTTGAGATGCTTTGTCTACTCCCATTTTTTGGCTTTGGACTCAAAAGTTCTCATATTTGACCATTCTCTAAGCCACTGTTCTTTTTCCCACTCCCAAGGTTGGTGGGTTGGTTATTTATTTATTTCTTTGTTTGTTCATTTCATTTATATACCCACCGCTTATTCTCACTGACTCTGGGAGGCTTACAAACAATTAAAAAAAAACAAATATAAAAGAATTAAAAACAGTAAAGCCCCCATTACCCCTGCTGAAAACAGACAATCAAGCAAGTCACTTAATTCCATCCCATTCTGGATTTCCCATGTCTGTTTGGAGAACTGCATCTTCAGGGCCTTGTGAAAGACTGTCAAAGTGGGAGTCCATCTTATCTCCGCAGGGATGATGTTCCACAGTGAGGGAGCCACTACGGAGAAGGCCCTTCTTCTGGGTCCTGCCAGATGTATCCCATACACATCACATCCCTTTACGTCACAGGTGCAACTACAGAAAAGTGAAGGGGAGATTTGATAGAGCAGGGAAAGAATCCCACTGGGAGAGGGAAAAGGCCAGCTTTGGATGCCATCTTGCTTCCAGTTTCTTTCCGCCTGGAGCAGCAAAGAAACTTTGCATTGCTGTATTTTTTTTTTTCCTTTTAACGACCCTGTAATCCCTTGCATCAGGATGGAGTCGAGGCAACCGAATGGCGCTTGAGAATTTACTGGCTGGATGCCCTTCCGGATGCCTACACAGAGTTCGCAACAATTACTTCTTGAGCCCAGATAGAGAAACATCATCTGCTGCCTAGGATCGAACTCACAGTCTCCTGAGTGTGAGGCGATAGCTCTGCCTCTGGGTCAACGCGCTGCTTGTTGCGTTTTCTTATTTGAGGAGCTTCAAAAGAAACTCCAAGAAAATGTTGGGATGTACAAAATGACCATCACTGCTGCAAGGAAGACCAGGGCTGCATTTTGTATGAAGTGTTTTTCTGAGGACCTGCGAAGCTTTTGGCCATGACCGTGGCTTTGGAACCACTCCACCACTTCGCGCAGGCTGTAATGCCCAGGTTCATAGCCCAGCTCCCTTCTAGCTTTGGCTAAGCTGAAAAAATGGGTCACACCAGTTTTGTAAACTTCGGTGCGAGTGAGGAGGGGCTGAAAGTTATACAGGCGTCCCAGCGCAAAATGGACCAGTTCAGTAACAAATGCAAAGAAGTAAACAAGGGATAGAGGAAGGCGGAGAGAGGGGTAGGTGTATCCTAAACCTTCTACCAAAGGGCGAAAGAATTCAAAATTATTGACTGGCTTCCCATCGGAAATGAAATAGGCTTGGCCAGCAGCGATGTGGTTTTTGGTGGCACCCAGAGCCTCTGCTGCTAAAATGTGAGCTTGCACCAGGTTATCTACATGCACAAAGTCCACCAGGCTGCTAGGATCCCCATACACACACCAGAACCATCCCTGTTCCACGTAGTGGACAATCCTTGGAAGATGCCTCTGCTCTCCTGGTCCATAAATGCCAGCAGGTCTTATGGCACAGGTCCTCAAAATTCCCTGACCGTCCCTTAGGACTGTCCCATTGGCCTTGAGAACTTTCATTTCAGCCAAAGCTTTGGTCCTTGAGTAATGGTCAGGGTGAAGATGGAGGGGTAGATAAGGCCAAGATTCATCTCCGTTTTCTATAACCTGGCCCCCAAAGACTACATTGTATGTGCTTGTGTATACAAGTTTGGAGATGCCAACCTTCCTGCAAGTTTCAATGATGTTGTCAGTTCCTTTGACGTTCACCTCTTCTATACGTTTTGGGTTGAGCTGGTCCCGGCCAGACATTCCATAGGAGGCAATATGGAAGACGCAAGACATACCCTGGAGTGCTTGTTCCACTTCATGGATCTCACACACATCACCCTGCACAAATTTCACACCTTTGGGCATCTCTTGGGTAGGCTTGGAAACATCAAGCAGGATCACATCCACTTTGCTCTTGGCTAGGGCTAAACCCAGCCTGGAATACAATAAGAAATACAGGTTGAAACGGAAATTATAGAAAAAAATGTACTTCATAATAGGAACAGTTTAATGGCAAAAGCTTTAAGTCAGCTGAACCTTTTATGTTAACTGTTTCTAATCCTCAAGGTGCTGAGGACAAGAATGAGGACTGCCAATTTTCAAGCAGCAGATCAATCAACTAAAACTTCCATTACTTAAGTGGGCAGGGCTAGCGTGTGATTCTGACAGGAAATAAAAACCAAAATTGTACAGGTAGTTCTTGTTTATTCAGCTCCTCCACACAAAGTTAGAGGCTCACACACATGGAGGGTAGCTTTTGCTGATTAATTTCTCTTTTTCTACTGCTTTCTTTTCATGGGTAGACTCCTAAGAAACCATAGATGATGATGATGATGACACACAATGGCACACATCAAAAATGAAGTTTAGTTGCCCGTTTTCAAAGTAAAACACATACATGACATACACCTAAACATACTATATACAACATATGTATAGACCCAGAACCCTATATATATATACATAACAAATGAATATTAATCGCTGTCCATCTTGAATACCTAACGGAAGGAGGAAGCTTGAGAGTTCACAAGGTTAATGCTGTATGGAATGAAACTATGGCTGAATCTGGATGTTTTGCTATGGATACCACGAAGCCTCCTCCCAGAAGGTAGCAAGGAAAACAGGTCATGAAGAGGATGTGTAGTGTCCCAGATAATCTTACAGACCCTGCTCAAGCAACGCTTCTGTGCTATGTCCTGGATGGGAGGGAGGGAACTGCCAATGATCTTTTCGGCCATTCTCACCACTCTCTGCACCGCCTTCCTGTCTGAAGCAGTGATGCCTCCAAACCAGACTGTGATGCTGTATGACAGGATGCTCTCGATCGCCCCCCTGTAGAAAGTGATCAGGATAGGGGAAGGAAGATGTGCTTTTCTCATGCGGTGCAGAAAATGCAGGCGCTGCTGTGCCCGCTTCACCAGTTTTTCACTGTTGAGCAACCAAGTCAGCCTACTGGTTAGCTGCACACCCAGGAATTTGATGCTGGTAACCATCTCCACAGGTGAATTATTTATACACACAGAAGTGTGGCTGTGCCTGCCTTTTCTGAAATCAACAATGATCTCTTTGGTTTTTCCGGTATTTAAAACTAGGCCTGTTTTCCTTACACCAGTTCACCAACCCTTCAAATCTCCTTGTGGTAAGCTTCCACCTTGTCATCCCGAATAAGGCCCACTACTGTTGTATCATCTGCAAACTTCACAATATGGTTGGTGGCAAACCTAGCACAACAGTCATAGGTCAACAGGGTGAACAGCAGCGGACTTAAGACACAGCCCTGAGGAGAACCTGTGCTCAAGAAAATGGTATTAGAGGTATTTGTTCCAACTCGCACATATTGGGGCCTGTTGGTAAGAAAATCAAGAATCCAGTTGCACAGGGGAGTGTTTAAGCCTAAACAAATAAGACAGATAGATAGATAGATAGATAGATAGATAGATAGATAGATAGATAGATAGATAGATAGATAGATGTTTGTGTGTGTATCAAACATGAGCCAATTTGGATGCATAAATGCAATTTTCCAAAGGCTGTATTACTAAGGCTGCAATTTGTTCAAAAACAAACAAGCGCAATTCTTTGTTGAACAAATACTAACCGAAAACCAAGATATCCACTTCCACCTGTAATGAGGACAGTTTCCTTGCTGGGATTTTCTCTTTCCATGTCTTCTGGGTTTTTTTTCCCCCTCCCCACAAATCCTAAGCTGTAAATAAAGAAAAAAGCACGATATAACCTTAGTGCACATAACATGCAAGCCATACATTGTATTTTGTATTTTATTTTATTTTGGGGTTTATGTTTTTATTGCGCTTTTTGAAGCCAAAGCCTTTTAGCCAGCAGTAAAATGGCTCTGGTCTTAAAAATCTGCCTTCAGCCAACTTTTCCCAAATTGTAAGTGGATTGGACTCCTATCAAGGGGGATCACAGTTACATGAAATCTTACCTGTTCAATGTTTACGCACGCCCCTTCCCAAGTGCATGAGTCAATCTCTGGTGCTGTGGAGACAATTCTGCATGTGCATCAAACATGCTTGTTTAATGATCTACTTCGGAGTCCAAACTCTACTGCCCTTGGCCAAGCAATTCGCATTTCACAAAAACAGATGAGTGTCTAAAATGAATTTTCTTTGTGATCTGAATTAGGCATTCAGATCACAAAGAAAATAAGATACTTAGGGATACACTGTAACAATTAAAAGAGACAATTATGACAAATTAATGGAACAGATTAAAACGGACTTGGACACCTGGACAAATCTCCAGCTCTCTTTCATGGGGTAGAATTGCCGTAATTAAAATGAATGTACTGCCTAAAATATTATTTCTATTTCAATGTATACCAATTAGATTAGAAAAGGAATTCTTTTGAAATTTCAATCAAACCATACTTAAATTCATTTGGCAAGGGAAAAAATCAAGGATTAAATTAAAATTATTACAGGATGCTAAGGAAAGGGGGGGGGTCTTGGCTTCCCCGACCTGGAAAAATACTATCAATCTACAATTCTTCTATGGGTGTGGGATTGGATTCGACTGGAAAATCGGAGATTATTAAAACTGGAAGGTCATGACATGCAGACTGGATGGCATGCCATGTTATGGGATGAGAAACATAAAGTTCACCAGTACTTCTGGGGGCACTACATTAGACGGGCGCTAATAGATGTATGGACCAAAATCTGGCGACAGAACTATAGGCAAGTTCCCAATTGGATTTCAACACTAGAAATGTATATACACCCAAGGCTCATTCAGCTGGGGAAAGTAATAACCTATACAAACATACTAGATGAGAGAGGAGAATTAAAATCGAGGAAAAATCTCCAAGATGCAGGGATAGAATTAGAATGGTGGGCATACCTCCAACTACAAGCAAGATATAGGAAAGACAAAAAAGAGTGGGGTATAAAAATAGAACTGACAGGACTAGATAAAATTTTATTAGGTCCTGAGGATAAAATGATTAAAAAAATATATCACTTTCTTTTAGATCGGGCAATGTATGAAGAACAAGTCAAGGAGATTATGTTAATTTGGAGTAGGGATTTTGGTTTCAGTATCGACCTGCATATTTGGCAAGAACTGTGGGAAAGAAATAGGAAACTCACTCTAGCTACCTTGTATAAGGAAAATCTTTACAAGATGTTCTACAGATGGCACTTCCCACCCGTAAGGTTAGCCAAAATGGGTTCAAACATCTCACCCCTATGCTGGAAAGGTAAAACAGCATTAGGTTCATACTATCATATGTGGTGGGAATGCCCAAAGACTCATGAGTATTGGAACAGGACACGAAACTGGTTGAGGGATATATTAACACTGGACTTAGAGTTAAAATCTGAACTCTTCTTGTTGGGAATAACGACAGAAAACTACGACAAGGGAACAATCTACTTCCTGCTACACATCTTGACTGCAGCTAGGCTTGCATCTGTGCAAAAATGGAAGAGCAAAGAAATTCCCACAGAGGAAGAGTTACTATATAAGATATTAGCATGTGCGGAAAAGGACAGGCTCACAATGGTATTGAAAAACAAATGTGGATCAGTTTATTTCGAAACCTGGGATAAATTTTCCCACTGGAGGGATTTGAGGAGGACAGTTGGGATTAAAGACTAGTGTTAAGATAGAAATATATGTTATTTTAGAATAAGTACTGTATATAAAACTTAGATGCATATCTAGAGATGAAGAATCGATTGTAAAATGTGGAATGATTTGATAAGAATGTATATACTGGATGAATGTCAGTTTAATTGTATTATAAATAAAATTTTGAAAAAAAATTAAAATAAAATAAAATGAATTGGAGCCCGGGAACATTGATTCCAAGGGGACTTCCTTAAAGGGGAAGAGTCTGTCCAGCTTTCTCCAGTTCAAAGGTGGATCTCCTCGTTTCTCCACCAGCAGGAGGGTTTGGGGATGATGGAAGCTGTAGTCCAGCCCCTTTGGAGACACTGATTTGGGGGGGAGGTACTTGTAGGCCGGAGGAAGCCAAAGGGACGCCTCACAGTGTTTGGAAATGACGCCAATCCTGAGACAGTTCTAGCTGGAGCCAAGTCCCAAACATCTGGAGAACATCACGGTATCTTCTTCCTCCAGCCCAGTCATCAGAGCCAGCCACCACTTGCTTACCTTTCGGACACTGGGGGGCGATGGGAGCTGTGGTCCAAGTCCATCTGGAAGACGCCGGGGCTCTTACCTCCCCCAGGCTGCGGGTGATAGGCGTTGTAGTCGGCAGCCTTTGATGACACGGGAGCGCAAGGTCTCCCTCGCTTCTCTTCGCTTTCCCACGGGCTGTCCCCGCCCCATCGCCCCATCATCGGCTGAGAGGCGGGTCCCGCCCCATATTACGCATCTCCAGTCACAGCCTGGACGCCCCACTCCCCCTTTTGCAGGGCATGCAAAGCCCGTTCCTGCCTCCAGCGCAGCGAGTCTCGGGGTTAAAACCCCTCCGCGGGCGCTGAGCCATCGGAGGAGAGAGACTTCGCTCCGCGCACCCGACCCTCTCTCGCTTTCCGAGTGGGTTTTAGGACCTTGGGGAGTGGGGGGGGGGTCCGACATAGCTCCTTCCAGCTATTGTCTTCCGTACAGCAAGATGTCCGAGCGCGCAGGCCGGGAGCCGTACGGGCAAAGGGTTGCAGGCGGTGCCGCGTTGGCTCCGCGCTCTTTTCGGAATGGAATAGAATAGAATAGAATAGAGAATAGAATAGAATAGAATAGAATAGAATAGAGTAGAATAGAATAGAATATGAAATAGAATAGAATAGAATAATAATGTAGAGTAGAACAGAATAGAATAAGAATGTAGAGTAGAATAGAATAGAATAAGAATGTAGAGTAGAGTAGAATAGAATAAGAATATAGAGTAGAATAGAATAGAGTAGAATAGAATAATAATGTAGAGTAAAATAGAATAGAATAATAATATAGAGTAGAATAGAATAAAATAATAATATATACAGTAGAGTAGAATAGAATAGAATAATAATGTAGAGTAGAATAGAATAGAATAGAATAGAATGGAATGGAATACAGAATATGGAATGGAATGGAATACAGAATATGGAATGGAATGGCATGGCATAGAATAGAATAGAATAGAATAGAATAGAATAGAATAGAATAGAATAGAATAGAATAGAATAGAATAGAATAGAATAGGAGCTGGAAGAGAATTTGAAAGACTAGACTAGACTCTAGAATATAGAACAGAACAGAGAACAGAATAGAACAGAACAGAATAATATTAGAGTTGAAAGGGACCTTGGAGGTCTTCTAGTCCAACCCCAGCTCAGGCAGGAAACCATTATACCATCATAGGCGAATGGGTGTCCAGTCTCTTCTTAAAAACCTCCAGTGTTGGAGCACCCACAACTTCTGGAGGCAGGTTGTTCCACTGGTTAATTGTTCTGTCAGGACATTTCTTTTTATTTCTAGGTTGCTTCTCTCTTTGGTTAGTTTCCATCCGCTGCTTCTTGTCCTGCCTTCAGGCGCTCTGGGGAATAGCTTGACCCCCCCTCTTCTTTGAGGCAACCCCAATCTTGAGTTGCAGTCCTAAAGATTGTCTTCCTCCCATCTCAGCCGGTTTTAAAAAGGGGCTGGTTGCCTTTCCCACTCTCCCTCAACCTTTCCCTATATTTTTTGTGGGCCCCTAATTCTATCACTGGGTTTACACATTGTCCTTAGCTGGGATTGGCTGAAATGTGGTTTATTGGATAGAAGGCTTGGCTTTGGACCAGTGGAGCTATAACATAAGGCTATAATAATAATAATCTAGTCCACCCCCCTGCTCAGGCAGGAAACCCTATACCATTTCAGACAAATGGCTGTCCAGTCTCTTCTTAAAAACTTCCAGTGTTGGAACATTCACCGCTTCTGGAGGCAGATTGTTCCACTGATTAATTGTTCTCACTGTCAAGAAGTTTCTCCTTAGTTCCAGGTTGCTTCTCTATTTGGTTAGTTTCCATCCATTGCTTCTTGTCCTGCCTTCTGGTGCTTTGGAGAATAGCTTGACTCCCTCTTCTTTGGGGCAGCCCCTGAGATATTGGAACACTGTTATCATGTCCTCCCTCGTCCTTCTTTTCACTAAATTAGGCATACCCAATTCCAGCAATCATTCCTTATATGTTTTAGCCTCCAGTCCCCTAATCATCTTTGTTGCTCTTCTCTGTACTCTTTCTAGAGTCTTAACATCTTTTTTACATCGTGGTGACCAAAATTGGGTGCAATATTCCAAGTGTGGCCTTGTAAAGTGGTATTAATACTTCACATGATCTCGACTCTATCCCTCTGTTAATGCAGCCCAGCACTGTGTTGGCCTTTTTGGCAGCTGCAGCACACGGCTGGCTCCTATTTAAGTGATTGGCCACTAGGACTCCGAGATCCCTCTCACAGTTACTACTATTGAGCAAGGTACCCCCTATACTATACCTGTACATTTGGTTTTTCTTGCCTAAATGTAGAACCTTACTTTTTTCACCATTGAATTTTATTTTGTTAGACAGCACCCAGTGTTCAAGTCTGTCCAGATCCTCCTGTATCTTAAGCCTGTCTTCTGGAGTGTTGGCTATTCCTGCCAGCTTGGTGTCGTCTGCAAATTTGATGAGGCTTGCAAACCCCCTGTCTGTGTTTCTTACAAGGACTTTAACCAGGGTTCTCCAGAGTGGAGGAACAAAATAAAGAATAACAGAATAACAGAGCTGGAAGAGACCTCGGAGGTCATCTAGTCCATCCCCCGGCTCAAGCAGGAGACCTGACACCAATCACTTGACAAGTTTAGCACGATGTAGAAAACTATGAATTGCAAACATATTTGAAGAGGGCAAGATAAGCCACGCTGAAACATCAACGTTGTATCTTGAGGGCTTTAAAAATTTCCTGCCCCCACTCCTTATCCTGAACCTTCTGTTGATCAATCCTATCACGGGACACACCATCTCTGACACCCAATTCGGGAACTGGGAAAGAAAAGAACCGTTTTTATTTCCCAGTTCCTTTCCTCCCCCCGCCAAACCCTAACTTTGCAAATTCAATAAACTTGCTTAGCAGTAGATCAAGGTGTCCCAACTTCAGCAACCTTAAGACAGGTGGACTTCCAGCTGCCCAAATTCCCCGGCCAGCTTCTTCTATGGAAGAAATCATAGAAGAATTCATGAGCCAAGAAGGAAGGTGATGCTATCTATCCCCTGTGTGACATGAGAGCAGCCTCCAGTGCATAAGGGGTTGTTCCAAAGAAGAGGGAGTCAACCTGTTCTCCAAAGCACCTGAGCGAAGGACAAAAAGATGGAAGCTTATCAAAAAGACATATTCCAGTGGTGGTCTTATCTCCAGATCCAAACAAGGTATCTGAAAGATAAACATGAATGGGGTATTTATAGCCAAGATACGGGTCTAGACAAAATTTTGCTTGGTCCGGGGGAAAAAACAAATAAGGAATATTTACAAACACCTATTGGAGTACAGGCTATTTGAAGAACAGGTTAAAGAAACAATGGTGACATGGGCGATAGATCTGGGACACAACATCAATTTGGATCAATGGCAGCAGGCGTGGATGCGAAATAATAAATTTACTTTGGCGTTTTCATATAAAGAAAATTCGTGTAAGATTATTTATTTATTTATGAGACTTATATACCGCTTTAAGTGCAAGCACTCTCTAAGCGGTGTACACCAGTAAGCAATGTATATATATATTTACATTGCCCCCCAACAATCTGGGTCCTCATTTTACCTACCCCGGGAGGATGGAAGGCTGAGTCAACCTTGAGCTGGTGTGATTTGAACCGCTGACCTGCTGAACACAGTCAGCTAAAGTGGCCTGCAGGACTGCACTCTAACTGCTGCGCCACCTCGGCTCATTTACAAGATGGCATCTCCCTCCAGCAAGATTAGCCAAAATGTACAAAGGATGCTCATCATTATGTTGGAAATGTAAAAAAGGGGCACATATTTTCATGCTTGGTGGTTATGTAAAGAAGCACAGCGTTATTGGCGTATGGTTTGGGAATGGGTAACAGAAATGAGTATGCAAAACATTCAGTATAAACCTGAGACATTGTTGTTAGGAATTCTTGAAAATAATATTAGTAAAGAAGATATGTATTTATTTACTCATGTGGCTACAGCGGCAAGAATTGTATTTGCTCGAAATTGGAAAGCTACGGCTATACCTAGTGAGGAAATATTAATTCATAAAATTACGCACTGCGCAGAATTAGATAGGTTAACTAAAAGACTCAAAAATCAGGAGGAAATGGATTTTTACCAAATTTGGAACAAATTTTATAGATGGTGGGGGAAAAAATATGGAAGTCATTGTAATGAGATAAGTTAAGATTGAGATTAGAGTGAAGTTATTGTAAAGGTTTTTTTTCTTATATTAGTAATTAATTGTGAATATGAACTGAGATGTATGTCAATTCTGATTTACCATGTTCAATGTTTTTAATTTTTTGTTATTCAATAAAAATATTTATATATATATATAAAAGACATATTCCAGCCTAGAATTAAGATTTCCTGACTGTGAGAACAATTGATCAGTAGATCAGCTTACCTCCAAGAAGTTGTAGGTGCTCCATTCCTGGAGCTTTTCAAGGAGATTGCATAGCCATTTGTCCAGACTGGTTATAGAGTCTCCTCCGGAACAGGAGGTTGGACTAGAAGACCTCCAAAGTCCCTTTCAACCCTATTCGATTCTATGTTCTATGTGTTTTTTTCCCCTGTATCTATTTGCGATAGGTGGCGATATTGCACCGAGTCCAAGCTGTTTGGTTTTTTTCTTCTTCTTTTTATGAGAAAACCAGAGAATAGTTGTTACCAAACCCTGACCAATTTTAGCTGGATTTCAACTCCTAGAATTGGCAGAGGAATTCTGGGAGTTGAAGTTCACCTCTTAAATTCGCCAAGAATGAGAAATACTCCTCTAGAATTTTGCCCTTGAGGGCCAGCCACTAAGGAATGAAACAAATTGAGTTTTTTAATTTGTGTTTTTAACTGTCCTTTTGCAATAGTTTTGTTGGCGTTTTTAGGCTCCTACGAGGAATTATTTCCTGGTCTGGCATACTCACGCTGCCCCTCAAAGGGAAATAGGCCCTGTTTTCAAAGATATAAGGTGCCCTAAGCTTTGTTTGGAAACCTCATAATTTCATGTTTTCCTTGTATCCGGAGAGCTAGCTTTCTTTCTTTCTTTCTTTCTTTCTTTCTTTCTTTCTTTCTTTCTTTCTTTCTTTCTTTCTTTCTTTCTTTCTTTCTTTCTTTCTTTCTTTCTTTCCTCATCCCAGACCATCCAGTCCTGACATTTCCTGTTGATAAGTCTCATCAGGAGACACAGCACCTCAGTCATTTGGTTCTGGATCATGAAAAAAAGAAGTGTCTCTGGGATTCCATGGGAGAATTTAACAGCTAGTGAGGTGGGTGGAAACTAAGTGCACAATCGGAACCAGAATCTCCACCATAAGACATTGCAGTCCAGTGGTTCTCAACCTGTGGGTCGGGACCCCATTTGGGGTCGAACGACCATTTCACGGGGGTCGCCAAACAACGCAGTCCGCCATTTTTTCCCCCTTTTCCTTAGCTGTGCTACTCCCTTTTATTCTATTGGCTTTTGAAAGCCAATAGAATAGACTCTCTTGAATAGAGTCTAATTCTATTGGCTTTCAAAAGCCAATAGGAATTGTCCAGGCTGTCTCTGCCCTGCTGAGCCCGCCAAAAGTCCCATTCTGCAA